CGATTCAGCAGAAAGAATGTTATCTCGCATAATGCTTGGAGTACATATAAAGATATATGGCTATAAGGAAGTAACTTGACGAAATACAAGTTAGAATAATGTAGACATTAGACATTCGAGGGTAAAGGAGGAAATAAATTGGAGGTATTTGTGGAAATCAGACTATCAAGGGGTCAACTGATGTAAAGAAACGTCCCTATAGATGGAGTTCAGCTTTTCTCAAGGCGGCACAAAAAATGATGTGTGCGTCTCAGGATTTCTTGCCATCCGTTGGTTAAATGAGGCCCTACTTAAATGGATTTCAGCGTATCCGAAGGACCATATCATCAATATTAAATTAAAAAATAATTTAACTTATCTGAGTTGTCGAATGTCGTGTTGGAGTGAAACGATCTCCGCTTGATGGAGGTCAAGTAACGCAATGCATAGGCATTTATGTGGATTCATGCAATGCAGATATCAACTGATGTAATGCCACGTCTACTTTTTTTCAAATTGCATGATATCACTGACGAGATTTACAACCAAAAGTTGATGCAAAAGCCCTTGATACCGAATCTAAGCTAAACGCTTTACGATAGAAGGTGAGAAAAGTGGATATCACCAGCGCCTGTGGTATTCCCTGCGAAAATTATTTTTTGCATTTGCTAACGGGTCTAATGTCCATTTACGCATCAGCATTCTTCATTTGGGGCGAATATGAAACTGGGCTTTATAATATGACCTGCGTTGCTTCAGCACACCTGACAACTCTCTTTAACTTTTCACTAAACCCGATTTTATTTAGGCTTTTCTGTTTTACTAGGCAATATCAGATTACAAACCTGAGATGTTTCTCGCGACATACTGGTATATGACATTTATAGAAGACGTAGCTGTAAAGCGCATTAAAACATTCTTGCTTGATTTACGCAGTGACGTAAACGCTCACTATGAATGCCCACTTTTAATTTCCACTCATATCTGCTCGATACTATACTTCAGAGACAGCGAGGATCTGTGCACATATATGATTAATGCCTAATTCTACCAAGTCAATGCAAATCTACTAAGACCAAAATTTGCCTCTGATAGGATATGTTATTATACATGGAGTCAAAATAATGCCACATTTACATTCACCAACTCCTGCTTTCCTAATTTCCCCAGTTATAAGCTTTTATATAGTTCCCACATTTCCTTGGCTTTAGCATAGACAACCACGTAAGTGCAGACCAGAAGATGTTAAAAACGGTAAAAATGTGGATTATTGGGAGCAGACAATCCCAATTGGTTTGTGTCCTGATGGATAAGGACTGAAAATACACTGGCAATTTATATTTGGCAGATATTCGCTTGTTCAGACTGAACGTTACTTGACGATGCGCTCTTTTTTCAAAGTGCAAAGAAATTAACTTTAAAGATATTATATAAGTAGCAACTGTTCTCATAAATTTAAGAGTTCACGCAATTTTCTTTCAACATTGGGTGCTCATAAGTTAAGACTTGAAATAAACGCCAGATATGGTAGACGAAATGGGTTGGAACTGGGATATGTAGGAGCAACTACAAATACTCTGACGTGTCTTTGGATGTGATGGTTTGAATGCATGTTGCTACGGATAGGAAGAAGAAATAAATGAATGCTTAAATGAATGAATGAAGAGGTGTGCAGATGTTAGAGACTTAAACCTTGAAGTGGTCGGAAGAAGAGGGAAGTGATGTAATGCATAATTGATACAAAAGAATGTACAATATCAGCAAGTTAAAAAGGACAAAATAATGCCAGCGACTACACCACTTAAAAACCTTTGGTTTCCCTCGCACCATCTAGGTTGTGCTACGTCGGGCCGGGTTAGTACATGACTGGATGACGGAATAGGAACGTTAGAGGTTGCTGGCCAAATTTAAAGTATCCTAGGCCTCTCTTAGCCTCCTCTACCATCCTCTTGCCTCTTTTCTGCCTTGTGGTATTTAAATTTGAATAATTCATGCCATCTAAAAATTCCACTCTAGATCAATTCACCTTATTGAAATATTTAATTTCCTTCCAAACCACTCCCTTTAGACCCGTTTGCCCTCATTTTCTTAATTTTATTAGCCTTTTTTTGAGTTAAATATGACAGGCAGGTCCTTTTCTTCTACCGTAATTTCGATTTATGCTTTGTCTACACGTAGGTTTTTTTTATTCTCAAACAGTTTCTTACAAATTTTTTGGTCACGTTCTCTGACGTAACATGCAAGCTATTGGTCCTTTTGATTTTCGCATTTTCCCTTATAATTTCACTGCCTTATATCCAAAATTTTTAGAAAAAATATCAAGAGTAGCATGCAATCAGCCCTACCTTGCACTTTCGATTTAACAACATGCCAAAAAATTTGATGTTTTTAATAACATTTATAATTCAGCCTGCAATCACCATCAAATTTCAGCGAATTGACGGATTTCCTCTAAAGTGCACAAAATGTGGTAACGTGAGCCCTTTTGTCGTAACATTGTCTGCGTGTTCTTCATTCGAGTTTCGAATGTCGCAGAACTAGTAATGAATTCTCGCCTTTGGGTTTTGGTTGTGTATTCGACCCGCCACCAAAGAGGTATGAAAACTGACAGCATCCTTTCCCTAGTTGGGCAGTGGACGTAATCACTCACTGTGAATGCGTACTTATAAGGCAAATTCATATCTGCCGGCTACAACACCTCAGAAAAAGCGAAGATTTGTACATCATTGGGTTTGATGATTAATTCTACCAAGTCAATGCAAATCTACCTACATCAAAATATACCTACAAATGGTAATTTATATTTTGTAGGTATTTGCTCATTCAAATGGAATGTTACTTGACAGTGAGCTGTTTCTTCAAAGTAAAAGAATTCAACTTGAAAGATGTTAATGAAGTTGTAACTGTTCTCATGACACCAAGAGTTCACATAATTTTCTTTCAACATTAGGTGCTCATAAGTTAAGACTTAAAATAAACGCCAGATATGGTAGACGAAACAAAGCAAGTTGTACTGAGTATTTGTATTGAGTAAAAAAATGAATAGAAATGTTTGTCAGCTCTCTTTTCACACTATGAATGGAAAGCCTTCGTAAATATTTTTATGACAACAAACATACCGCTTTTCAGTCTGGAGATATTCATTGAAGTGCAAAAGCATTTTTCGTAACTGTCTTTGATTATATTTGTATTTGGTGAAATTGTATGTGATATTTAGCTACGCACTGCACGACATGGGCTCTTCACTTTCAGAACATTTTACTTCCTTGGTTAGCATTGATGGAGAGTCGTGCCTGCATTTATATCTGGTCGTATAACACAAAATTGACTTTTATCGCGTGCACCTAAGCTGTAGTTTG